CCCCAACAGGGCCTTCCTGCGCCGAGACCCTAGGGACACCGGGGTCTTTGCCAGCACCCACTGGGGACTGTCACTGGTGGTGCCACCTCCAGCCAAGCTTTGGGGTGCAGGGAGGGAGCTGCCCTTCGAGGCCCATCCCTGGGGTGAGGGTGCATCCGGCACCCCCCCCCACCCGCTTCCCGGAGGATTTATCAGCGGGGACACCCACTGGGGACAGCTCTTCGGCACCGCAGGGACAATGTACGGCAACATTGAGTCCAGCCAAGCCGGGCAGGGGCAAATGTGGGAGCTGGAGCTCAGCGGCAGGGAAGGTAGGGAGCACCCCAGGGTGCTGGATGGGGTGAGGGCGAGCCCAGCAGTCCCTAATGCACACCCCATGTCACTTTTGGGGTCTCACAGTGTTGGGGGGTATCCCCTGTCTCTGTCCCCAGTACCCAAGGGAGGATCCTAGGGTGGGTGGTGGCACCCGGGGGGGGTTCCCCCATCCCTGGTGACTGAGGGGGCGTCCCCAGGATGGACTGTGGTACCAGGGAGGGATCCCCATCTCCATCCCTGGTGCCCAATTGGGGTCCCAGGGAAAGTGGTGGCACCTAGAAGGCACCCAAGGGGGCACTGAAGGGGACCCCCCATCTCCACCCCTGGTCCCTGAAGGGTGCCCCCAGGGTGGGCAGTGGCACTGAGGGGGATCCCCGTCCCTGTGCCTGGTGTCCAAGGGGGCATCCCTGGGATGGTTGGTGACCCCTGGGGAGACTCTCCCACCCCCAATGTCCAAGAAGGGGGTCCCCAAGGCAGACAGTGGCACTGGAGGGGACCCCCATTTCCATCCTTGGTGCCCAAGGGTGATCCCTGGGGAGGTCGGAGACACCTGGGGGGGTCCTCAGGGAAGTGGCACCAGGGCAAATCCCCCACCCTCATGCTCGAGGGGAGTCCCCAGGGATCATGGTGGCACTGGGAGGGGGAGATCCCCTCACCGCTATCCCCTCCCCAGCCTGCAGCGACCTGTGCTCCACAGAGGAGAACCCATATGAGCCCTTGGACTCTGCCATCACCGTGCCAAGCCAGAAGCACGTGCCTGACCCCCCAGGTACGGCATGGGCAAGGGCAAGAGCATCGTCAAAAGGACAAAACCACGCTGCGGTTAAAGCCGGTGCCACCCGGCTCTGCCCAAACCAGGGGCTGGCTGTCACTCACCCACCCTCCTCAGCGTCAGGGTGCTGCTCCAGGGAGAAGCTGGTGCTGGTGGGCACCGTGGCACTGGGTGTCTCGGTGCTGATGAACGTGATCTTTCTCGCTGTCGGCTCACAGCACAGTGAGTAGCGGGGCTCTGCGGGGCTCGGGGGAGCCCCCTTCCACCTGGGGAGACGATGCCGGGGCTGCTGGGTGGCAGAGTTAAGGTTATTGGGGTGTTGGGGGTCTCCAGGGGGGGTGCAAGTCCTCAGCACCCCTCAACACCAGCCCCTCTCCCACCCCTGCCACAGCAACGGCTCTGGGACACCCTGTGCCTTGCGGTGACAGGGTGACCTGTGTGTGTGTGTGTCCCCCTGTCCCCCCCCCCCCCAGTTGCAGCCCTGACGGAAGCACTGGAGGCAGAGAAGGTGAAGAAGGTGCCGAATATGGGTGCGTGTCCATGCCGTGTGTACCCCCAACCTCCCCTTCCTTTCCGCGGTGACACCCACAGACGTGTCCTCAATCTCCATGTGTGTCCCCCCCGGTTCACCGGGAACCTCTCCGCAGCCTCCTGCTCCTTCCTGCTGTACAACGAAGACCACCGCAAGTGCGTGGAGGCCAGGGGGCAACAACTGATGGTGACGACGTGCCGGCCCGATGCCACGGCACAACGGTTCCAGTGGTTACAAGGGGGCCGGCTACGGGGCTGGGGGAGCCAGCACTGCATTACGGCAACCCGCGGGCAAAGCTGGGCAGTCGTGGGGCTGGAGCCGTGCCGGGACGACGGCGAGCTGCAGCGGTGGGAGTGCCGTGATGGCGGGCTGTTGGCACTCGTCGGCTACGATCTCTACTTCAATTACGGCAACCACCCGCAGCACATGGTGATGCTTTACACTGGGAACCGCGAGTGGAGCCGCTGGGTCATCCACGGGAGCAAGGATGACGTCTGTTCCCGCTCCTGTCAGTCCTGGCACCTTTATCCCAAATACTTAGGGCTTCACCTAACCCTACACTGGACGAAGTTCAGCCCTAACCTGGCACAGATACAGCTTAAACTAAACTCAAACTGCAATAGGGCCCTAAACCTGACCTAACCCTACCTTTAGGGTGACTTAGGTGACTTTTAACCTAACCCTAACTGAGCCCAAACCCTAATGGGACCCTAACCTTGATGCAGACTTAACCCTAAATATATGCGACTTAACTTAAACCTAAGCTAGTCCAAACCCCAGCAGGGCCTTAAGCATAAACCATTCGTAACCCTAAATACGTAGGATTTAAACTAACCCTGATCTAGCCCAAACCTCAATAATCCGAACCCAGTCCTAACCCTAAATATATAGGATTTAAATTAACCCTAAAGAAGCCCTAATCCCAGTGGGGTCCTAACTCTAACTCAGCCATAGCCGTAAATATCTAGGATTTAAGAGAACCCTAATTTGGCCCAAAATTCAGCATGGTCCTAACCCCAACCCAGCTGTAACCCCAAACATATAGGACTAAAGCTAAACCCAAACCCCAATGGGACCCTAACCCAGTACTAACTCTCAATATATAGGATTTAACCCAAACTCCAGCAGGGTTCTAACCCTAACCCAGCTGTGACGCTAACCCAGTGGGGATGCTCAGCAGCTGGGGCCATGGCTCCAGCCAGGGCTGTCCCCAGTTTATGGGGTCTCGCAGCCCCAGCTGAGGGGTGACCCCCCCACTTTTCTGTGTCCCCCCTTCCCAGGCTGTCCCCCTTGCTCCAAAGGCTGGACCCATTTTGGGAAGTCCTGCTATTTCTACTCCAAGACGGTGAGTTCCTGGGAGAAGGCCCAGCACTTCTGCTCAGTCCTGGGCATGCAGCTCCTGGAGGTGGACAGCCCCGAGGAGAAGGTGAAGGGGGGACGGATCCAGGCATCCAGGAAAGGGGATGGGGAGGGGGGACACTGTGGTACCTGAGGTGGGCTTTGTGGGGAGGTTATGATCTTCTGTGGGATGGGCAGTGGCTGAAAGCCCTTAAACCCTGTCCTGAACCCTACGACAGGTTTGGGGTCACCCCACACCTCACTTTTCCCACAAGTGGGTGCTGGTGAGCCCTCACCCTAAGCTTTACCCAAATTTTGTCCTTTTAATCCAAAATTTACGCTCTAGGACCTAATATTTCTGCAATTAAGCCCAACCCCATTCCTAAGAGAGCCATAACCCTAATTTAACTGAACCAAATCCAGCTGAAACCTATCCCTAACTCTATCCCTAACCCTAAGCCTAATCCTAAACCTCACCATAACCCTGACCCTGACCCTAACCCTAACGGTAACCCTGACCTTAACCCTGTCCCTAACCACAACGCTAATCTGATTATCCATAACTGTAATCCTATCCCTATCCTAAACCTAACATGTATTTATAGGACTTGACTTAACCCTAAGCCAGCCCAAACCCCACCAGGGCCCTAGCCCAGCCCTAACCCTAAATATATAGGACTTAAACCAACCCTAAGATAGTCCAGACCCCAACGAGGCTCTAACTTAAACTCTAACCCTCATTTTTCATAACTGCGACCCCAAACCTGTGTATAACCCGAACTTAACCCCAGCCCTAGTCCCATGGACCCTCACCCTGCCATCCCCGACCCCAAATCTCCTCTGAACTGTCCCCCAATACCAAAAAAAACCCCCAAACTCCCCCCCACATCCCCCCACTCCAGGGCAGAAGTTGTGTCAGCATTGGGGAGATGTGGGGTATTAAGGTGGGGGATATGGCATCAGGTCCTACCTGCCACTGGAACCTGCTGTCCCCTGCTGTCCCCGAGGGTGGGCAGGGGGCCGTGGGGGGCTCTGCCATGGGGGTGACGCTGCCTTTGCCCCCAGGATCACATCCGGACCATACTGCAAACCTCCTCCTGGCTCAGCATCAGGGATGAAGAGGTCGAGGGTACCTGGAAGCGGGCGAACGGGACTATCCTACCCCGGGAAAGCAGGTACAGCCCAGCGGGCACTGGGGACAAGGGGATGGGGGCTTAGGAACGCAGGGGGACACCCCTAAGCCGTCCCGATCCCCCCCCCCCCAATCTCGCTGCAGCTTTTGGCACAGGAATGAGCCCAATGGCGGGCACCAGGAGAACTGCGCAGTGGTGAGGGAGGATGGCGAGTGGTACGACTACCCCTGCACAAGTCAACTCCCCTGGGTGTGCGAGGGACACCCCTGAGCATGCAAGGGACACCCCACGACCCCTGACCCCCCACCCAGCACCCACCACCCCCTCTGGGGGCTCCCCCTGACCCCTTTCCACTTGCCACATCTAACCTGCAGCACTCCAGGATGTAGCCCTGACCTTCAGCACATCTGTTTGGGGTCCATGGATGGATCTCTGGGGAAAATTTGGGGTACGGGGTGGAGTGGGGTTCCCTGCAGGGCAATAAACACGTATGCAGAGTGAGGCCTTGCTCTGGTGATGGGGTGGGGGGGGCTGCATGGGATGGGGGACCCCTGATGGTGTGGGGTGGATGGGTGCAGGGCAGCTCCTGGCTCTGGGTTTTGGGGTCACTCAGCAGAGCAGCGGTGGTTTCGGGGGTGATGCCACATGGAGGATTGGGGCGGGAGGGTCTTGGGCCTCCAGGCTCCCCACAATCCTCCATGATCCCTTCAATTACCTTCAGGCTCCCCAAAATATCCCCCAGATCCCCTAAATCCCCCTCTAGACCCCCAAACACTCCTCAGGGCTCCCCCAAATGCCCCCCTAGACTTTCTTTAATACCTCCCAGACCCCCAAATACCACCCAGGTCT